AAAAAAAAATTGATTAAAGATTATTGTTTAATATATACGGACATATATGTCTTATATTTTTTTTTTTTTTTATTGGTCAAACCAAACTCAAACAAAAAACATTGTTTTCAAGTTTGAGTCTACTGATTGAATAGAATTTTATTATAAACAATTGTCTTGTAAATGGAATTTTTAAAGCATTCTGAATGTAAAAATAAACAAAACAAGTGTGTAAGACAATAAGAAACTTTACCTGCCCAAAAATTTTGAAGTTTTGTTGAAAAAAAATGTAGGAAAAAATCCCATATATAAAGCGAAACACACACACAAACAACCTGGGTTTTATAATAAGTCTAACTCGATATGAGTTGTCCCCCTTTCATTCTGGTGACAGAATCATGTTTTATCGTGTTTTCAAATTGATTTGAGTGCAAACTAAAATAGTGTTTTTTCCAATTTTGGTGCTGTCAGAACCACCGCAAGGTAATTTTTAGTCCTGTGAAGTTTTGTTGAAATCAGTTGAAAAATGTTAGAAATCCTATCCAATATATAAACGTACAGACACAATCTGCGTTTTATAATAAGAAATATATAAATATATATATATATATATATATAACATGTATGAAACCTAACTTCCTACAATTAATACTTTTGTAGTACTTAAGATATCACCAAACCAAATAAGAAAATGAAAGCCGAGTGAAGACATATAAATATTTACTTTTATCATTTAAGCATTAAAATCACTTATGTAAAAAAACAAAATACGATTTGCCTAATTCAAGAAAAGACTAGGACGTTCCAAAATTAAAAACAATGACATCTAGAAAAAAATGTAAAGCAACAAATGGCTACAATGGAAAGAAAAGAGGAAAAAGGCTAAAAAATGAATGTAAAGTGGAGAAAAAAAAATCTGAAGAATAGGACAATAATCAAATCACCTTCACATGTTCATGCACACATGAAAAAAAAAAAAAAAAAAAAACTTATACCAATGACAAGTGTATATAAAAAGAAAAATTAAGAAATCTAAGCAGTAAATTGCTGATACCCACTGAAAAGTGAACGGAAAATCGAAACTCTTTCAGGATGCTAAAGGTAACATCAATTACCTTGACAAACCATCCATCCATGTATATATATATATATATATATATATATAAAAAATTGTAATTGTGAATTGTGACACAAAAGGTAAACTTTTTACCAATGTGTTTTGACCTCAATGGACTTTAAAACGTAAAAAAAAAACTTTATCTTAAAAATTACCAAAAAAACAGAAGCAAATGAATGATTTCCATTTTTTTTCTAGATATAAGTTAAAAAATAAAATCTCCACATTTACCAGGATAAGGTCCCTCAAAGGACAAAATATTTAAAATTTTCCTTTTTCTTTAAAATAAAGAAAATGTTTATCAATCTAACAGATTTCGATTTCATTAAAGAATGAGATATGGAAATAAAAAAAATAGAAATTCTGGTATTTTTATTTTTGTGTTGTTTGATTTCATTGCTTAATCAGGCTCCACATGCATTTGAATTGTTAAGCAGCATTAGTATAATTTATGGTGTTCCAAAACCAGAAAACTACAATTGTTTTTTCCATATCTCATTCTTTATGAGGATTTTAATGAAAACCATATTTGATTGCAGTTCATACAGCTTAATATATATATATATATATATATATACACAACACACACACTAGGGCAGATTGACTTCATTTTTGTTCAGAAAAAAAAAATATTTTGTCATTATTTGGAGTTTGGTGTAACAAGTACCAACATCAAAAATTAGATTCATAGCTTTTACCAATTTTTGAACATTTAATTTTAAACATTGTTTGAAAAAATGAATATAGAAATACCTAAAACCTCGGTAACATGCAACCCCCACGCCCCAAATTTTCACTTATAAAAAAATGATTTCATCCTATATCTTGTGTATCATGTGAGTTCCTTTTTTGAGAGACCAAACTAAAATAGACTAACCTCTTTTCCTCTAACTCTTTATCCCATCTTCTAGCTAAATAGAAAAAAATTCTTTAAAACTTTCATTATAAAACTACATCGTTGCGTAAAATGTACAGCCATAAACAACTGAATGAAAACTTTAAACATCTTATAAATTTAAATATTGGAAAAAGAAACATATTTGTTGTTTGTATTTTTTTACGATACTTATTGTGAATATTAAAAATTATCGGATACACCTCACCAAACAAACTTTATCAAAATCATTTATTTTCTGCCAAACTTTTTGACTACAGAAATGGATATATGGTTTGGTCAATTTCTTTTATAGAACTCAGCAGTCCACACAAATTCTGTTTATCTTGTGTATGATGTGATTGGTAAAATTAGGTTTTAAGGGTTGCATGAGCATTTGAGTATATATATATATATATGTATATATATTAATTTTGCAACTTTTTTTTCATTTAATGGAAACTTCAAAACTTATATTTCAAGAATAAATCTAAATAAAGTTGATATCTTTTTTATTATATACATTGAATCCAAAATATATTCAAACCAGAACTCTAATTGGAATCACAAGCAAAATAAAACTTTTTTTTTTTTTTTTTTTACAGATTTCATAAATAAAACTAAAAGAAGTAAAAATTACTAAAAAAAAAACTGTCAATGAATGATTTTTAGATTAAACAGTAAAGACAAAAAATAGATATCAATCTATACTGTTGGACTTATATTATAAAAGTCAAAATATTTAAAATTTTCATTGTTTATTAAAAATCAGTGATAAAACTACATAAATGCTACTAAATAAATTTACATATAGCTATTCAGTATATAATTTCATTTGTAAATGAAGGTCTTATTTGATGGCACAAGATAAAAACCAGTATCAATCTATACCTGTTCCTTATATAGTAAAATCATGAAAGTTTGGATGGATTTGTTTAATAAATCCTATCAGTGATAAGACAGCTTATATAAATGGCTAGTAAATAATTTGCAGTGCATTCCTATAGTAAAATCATTTCCAATGAATTTCTATCTATGCTTTTAGTATTTGCTTTGTCACTATATATGTAATCATATAGTAATGTACTTAGCTCAATGTTCAATAAAATATTTTTGCCAGAAATTATGCAAAAGCCTTGATTTTAAATACATATTTTCTGGGTATATATCCAATATGAAAGAATGTGTTATACTAAACTCCATATTCTATTCGGCCAAGCTTAGCAAATAATTGACAAAACAAAGTACAAAACACTCACTTTATGAAATAATTTTTATTTCAGATATCTTTATACATTAAAAACATACTAAACCATTTTCAGTCTTTTGTCCATTTCATGGCATCTAAGAACCATAATAAAAAATAAAAACTGTCAAAATGACTCTCAGCAGAATTGTAAGAGGGGGGGAAAAAAAAACTCAAATCACTTTTTGATACTAAACTTAAAAAATAGTGAATTTAAAACATGTATTAACTTTTTTACGTTTTTAAATAAAGCCTAACACAGAAAACTGCAGGCCTTGTTTGACAAAAATATCTATACAATCCTTATTTCAAAATAACATTTTCAAATTGAGAAGCGAAAGTTTTCAGTTACAAAACAAATGTAACTTAAATGCATTTTCAGATGGAATAATTCATTTCTACATTGTTTTTTTTTTTTTTTTTTTTTTCCCCCCAAGAGTGGCGGGAGACATTTATAATGCTGAACTGGATCCTTACTTTGTGCCCATCTTTATGCAAATAATGGGGTAAAGTTACATCATTTTTTTTCTCTATAATTAGGAACTCAAGACAGTGTTCATAACTAATTTCAGGAAAAAAAAAAAAAAAAAAAGTTAATCTTTTTAAGCTTCCATAATTTTCAGAAAGATGGATACAAAACAGGGTCCAGGTTAGCATTAATCTTACACTGTCTTTATGATGGAAGATAGTTCGTTTACAAACACAATATAAGAGTCTAATTTTACATTTCTCAAAAAAACTTCTTAAAGAACTATAAAGCAGAGCAAACTATATCAGAAAATAGGTAATCATACTTTAACTGAATCATCCAATTCCCTTCAGATCTTGACAAGGAGAATCAAAAACGTTTTTTTAACAATTATAAAAAATGATTACTATTTTTCTTTCATCACATTTTGTTGCTTTTTATCACAATGCTCCAGTCTGTTACCTTCTGCAACTGATCCCTGTAAAAATGTGATAGAAAGCAACAAACTAGTGAAATACTAACAATGAAAATGATTCATTTAAGAAATCCAGACAAGAAAAATAATTTTTTTTATATTCATATGTTCCAATTTGAATTTCTGAAAAAAAAAAAAAAAAAAAAAAAAAATTGAAACTTAAGATAAAATTCCATATTTTTCAAAGAAAAATTATTTTTATATTTCAACATAAGAAAAAATAATTAGTTCCACTTAACAATTTCGTGCAATCAAATATTGACTTTAAATTAAAAAAAATATACATATTTAAAATTGCATTTGTTTGCAGAATATTAAAACACATTCTCAATTATTTTAATGAAAACTAGATGGCCTCTTTGCAACTAGGGGAGTTAACTACGTTATGACCACAAGGGGAAGTAACTAAGACATTGACCTTTTTTATTTCACTTTAATCACGTGACAGAAAATAATCTATGAAACCTATTTCATTGACAAGTTAGAAAATTTCATTTCAGCACACACGCATTCATCCAGACATTGAATTAATTATTATCGGAATTTTATAACAGTATTATTATTCTTTTCAAATCAAATTTACTTTTTTTTTTTTTTATAAATTAAACTGAATAACAAGATTTTTTTTTTAAACAATCAAATAAAAAAAAGAAAAAAATGTGATAATGAAGTTCTTTTCCAGCAGTAAACTGGGTTACTGCTAGACGGACAATTTTTTCTTCAAGTCATTCTCCCCCAAATCAGAATGGAATGTGTTGGCGTCATTGCAAAACTAAACATGACATTAACCAGGAAGGAGAGGTGACTAAAATCCGAGTCAGATGCTTTCATATCAGTTTCTCAGTCAGTAAACAATAAGTCTTCATCATGTTCGTCATCAAGAAGATTGGCTGCTGTTGGCACCACGATTCCTCGTTTCTTCCTTTCCTCATTTTCACGTTCCTTTGCTTTTTGCAGTTTCTTCTTTTTTTCTTGGATTTTCTTTAACCTGAAGAGAAAAGAAAAATACAAAGTAAGAAATTTACATTCATTTTTAAAAATATGCAATTTTGAAAAGAAGAGACACTTCCGTCTTTAAAAGATCACTGAATCTAATCACAGAAACTAAATGTAACTACCATTATCAGTCTTGTACTAGAAAGACGAACAAGGATGTCATTATTACAGGATAATGAAAACTGTTTTGTAACTCTAGTTAAAAGGATTAATCAATTGGTTAACAAGTAACTGATCCTGCTCCTTCCTGCAGATTATAAAAATTAACTAAGGTTTATATGGATTGAAAAGAGAAGGAGTGAAAAATAAGAGCTTTTTGAAGTTAATATTCTTCTTGTCTTTGTCATAACAGTGTTTGTGAAAATATTTCACTCTGCTCTAAGCAAAGATTTAAAAATAAAAAAAATTAACCTCACAGTTCAGATGTTGTCAACAGTTCAGTTTGTATTTCCAGTTTGTTGAAGACTAACATTTTAAACAAGTCCCTTATTACTAAATTTACAAAAATTACTCAGAAATATTCCAGAAATTACAGATCTAAGATTCAAGAAAGGCAAAATTGAAAACTTTTTTTTTATTTTTGGAAGGACAATTAATAATGTCCCAGTCACAAAACATTGAAATCTGTTTTATAATCTCAGCTTAAAGTGATATTTAGCTAACCCCCCCCCACGAGGGTTACATGTGGCACAAGGCCGGGTTTAACGAGCCTGTAGACTCAGCCCAAAATATTCCCTCTTTGAACCCGCATAAACGGGTTCAGGGGCAGTCAACCACCCCGAACGAAACTCTGCCCTTCGACGGAGCCTCGTCCGGGTTCCTCTCCGCCCGAAGACAGAGAGTTAGACTGTTAGCCAAGTTATCTCAGTTTAAAGTGTCTACCATTTGCTTAACAACTGGTTGATGCTGCTCATTTTTGCAAACCAAAATTTACATAGATGGAAAGAAGAACCAGTGAAAAAGAGAATGACTAGTCTTGAATTAATGGTTAAATTCTTGATTAATTAAAAAAAAAAAAAAGTTCTAAAGATTTCAGTTTGCTAAATAATAACATTTCTCACAGAACAAAACTTCATAGTATTTTCCAAGTTAACAGCTAATAGAAATTGTTTGTATATCAAAATAGTCAAACTCTCTAGATAGATAGATAGTTTGACTAAAAAAAGGCAATAAGAATTCTGATATGCAAACAATTTCTATTAGCTGGTAACTTGGAAAATACTTATGAGGGGGTGCTGAAAAGTTCTTTGTGACACCAAGAAATATTCTTAAAGAATTTTTCAGCATGCATTATAGTAGACACATCATAAACACCAGTTTTTTTTTTTTTTTTTAAATATGATCCTGGTGTATGTATGCAGATGTACAAGTTATCCTTATTCTCAAGATAACCCAGCAGATGTCTGAAACTACTGACAGTACTGAGCTGTATTATTTCCTTATATATATATATATATATCTGTTATATTAGAACATGTAAATATCCACTACAAAATTGTACATTTTGTTTCAACGTCAAAATCAAACATTTCTTCAAGTGGCTAACAATGATGGTACTAAATGATTTTATGCAAAATTGCAATTAATGAAGCACTACTTCACTTTCCGTTTTTAGAAAACTTTCCATAAAAGGTAAAAAGGATTTATATAAAGTAAGAGGAAAGAAAGAAGAAAGTCAAGTCTTTTCTCTTGATAGTATGGTTAATTTCCTACACTTTCTCTTGACTTTCTTTTCTTTTCCTTTTTTTTCATTGATTTCTTATATTCTTTCCAATGTACAATTTTGATATTTACATGTTCTGATGTAACAGTGTATAATAAATATTCATTGCTCTACTTTTGTATTGAGCCCTCTTTTAAATTAATGTTTTGAAAATTGGAATTTTATTTGTCATTCTTTTACACACACACACACTTTAACTGATTTAAAAATATGGTTCCTTCGCTACACAAGAATTACCATGTTTCAAAAACCGAAGCTAAAAACTTCAAATTTAATTATATAGTTAAATTAAAAGCATTAGTTCTGTTTCATCTACAAGCGAATTTTGGAACCAGAAATAAATTCCAAAATTCACTAAATTCATTAAATTAGTTAATTTATAATATTTATGCTCTGTAAATTTACATTGAGCACTGTTTTTTAAAAATAAAAATATCAATAAGTACACTGGATTACATATCTTACTGTTCTTTCTTTATATATATATATATATATATATATATATATATATATATATGATATATATATGATTACTCTTTCAGTCATGTCCTGTAATTATGAGTTTAGCTAATGTCATAATCTTTCACACATAAATCATGAAAATTACCTTCGTTAGTCAGGTGGGGTGACAGGACACCCCAAATAAGGAAAAGAGATGTCTGCCTCCCATAACAACTGGACTTCAACTACACCATACTGTGTGCTACCCATCTGAATTGAGTCAGGCAAGAGTAAAAGAAACAAGTTGCCAACTCTGAATTACAAATACTTTAAAAATTTAGGGGATAACAAATGTGACTTAATGCATTGTTAAGAATATGACTCAAGTTATCAGGTTAATATATTGGCTTTGTAGCAACTTGTGGTGTTGAGTGAAACTACACATAATGCAGACTATTATTGTATGTTCAATTGTTTACTAAGTTTGGCTTAGTGTGGACCAATACTCAAAGTCTGCAACACCCAGTGAAAATCTAATTAAAATTAGTTTCCTGACTACTACTCCAGGGTGAGGTGTCCCCCACCCCTCAACTATAGAGCCACTTACAATTTGTTTGGTACTGCTTAATTCAGAAGAAAAACAAAACAACATTAAAAGCCTGAGCAAGGCCCTGGTATTACTTACCTGTAGAATTCTTCTCTTTCCCTCTCATCAAGTTCCCCAGTTATGTAATTCAAAGTACGTTCAATACGAGGGATGATGACTGAAACAACAAAAAATAATTAATTGTAAAGAGCTAAATGTGAGGTTCTTGGAGTTTTTTTTTTTTTTATTGGTTTCACCCTCTGCAAGACAATAAAAGCATTAAGACACAAGGAGTTACAGAGTGGAGAAGAATTGGAAAGAGAAAAGAGTAATCAGGACGAGAGTAGATTGCGATTGACATTGCATTTAAGCTTTTGAAGGTTAAAGTTTGCTGAAAATCATGGAAACAGAAGCGAGTTCCACAAGCACGAACTGTAAGAAAAGAATAGCATAGAATTTACGGCCAGATCAACTGTCAATTGATGAGATCTCAACACCAGTTTAGTACTGCACCTAAATTCAAAAAGTCTAGGTACCATATCAACGAGCTCATCTGAACAATTACCATGAAAGTATTTATAGAAAAGGCACAGAAAGGCAACCTTACTTTAGGCCTAATTTTTTTTTTTGTTTTTTGCCACTGCCATTTGAAATATTTTTTTTTTATCATTTTACCCCAAGCAAGGCAATATAACTACTAAGATGCAAGGGGTTACCTAATGTTAGAGAATATGAAAGAAAAAAAAAAAAACACTACCAAAGAGAGAGAACAATAAGAGAATAAGATAGAAGATGACAATTGACATTGCATTTAAATTTATGAACATCAAAGCAAAAGAAGAAACTGTTAGCATAGATGGATTGCAAAAGGCCTTTTTAATGTGAGTATCTCTGAGGAAGCCAAAAATAAATAACCATCCAAATAGTTCCAACGAAAAGTGAGAATTCCTCTCTGCAAGCAAAGAAGAAACTCACAAAGCATAGAACTTTGATCCTAGCCACCGGGCCGAGCGGGTATTCTAAACTGTTAGCATAGAACTTACGCTTACATCTAGCAGCCATTTCAACCATAAAATAATGAAACCTTGCTATCAATCTAGTACAGTGTTTAAATTCAAAGTCTAGGTACCATAGAGCAAAGTTCATCAGAACAATTATCATGAAAATATTTATAGAAAAAGGCATAGGGAAGCTACATTATGACAATGGGAAAGTGGCTAAAGCCAAAATGCCAGGTTAGGACCAATAACATTGAAGATTTTATCAAGAATAAATTTAAAAATGGAGTGGAGGTTTTTCACACCTATATTAACAGTACATAGCAACTCCACAAACAATCATGACAACAATATGTACTTGTTTTGATTGACAGATTAATTTTCTATGGTTTATCAACCCTTTCTTTGCAGGTTATCTAAAGCCAGAAAATATTTCTACATTATAGGAATTTGTGTTAGGAAGATAATAAGAGCTTAGTGATACAAGTCTTACTAATTAACCCATAGTTGGGGGGAATAGATGGATTCATACCTTTCCCAAGAGTATTTGCACATAAGTGAATATAATGAACCTAACTGGAATTGGAACTCTGCTCACCAATAAACAATTCCAAGCACACCACCCACACATCCAAGCTTATAGCACTCGATATTCTCAAGCGGTGCTCATATCATTGATCATATGGGAACCAGCATTTCAACCTTGATGTGGCAATAAGCCATTATGTACTTGTTAAATCAGTTAAGCTTCTCTTAAGACTCAGATATTCCATGATGGAAGGGAGAGGGTTTCTGAATGACCCTGAGAAATTAATTTTACATTTAAAAAAGTTCAGAGAGTTAATAAATTTGGAGCAAGAAAATTTGGCAAACAATTAAATTTGATGAGAAAACAAAAACAAAATTAAAAAAATATTTTGTTTCATGGGACTGATAAGTTATGGCAAAAGAGAGAAGGTTAACTGTACAATATTTACTTGCCGCTATTTAAGATCATATTTTAGTCTAATGTTCACAGCAATTTATCACAAATCCCTAGCAGTACAATCCAAGTTTCCTGTGTTCAATCCCCTAGTCATAATACCAATATATTGAGCACAGTCTAATACTTGGATGCTAATTTTACAATAGCCCATTTTATATTAAAGTTTAACAAAGAATCTATAAAGGGTATCCATAATTGACTTTTTTGGCAGCAAGATGTTTCATACTGAAGCCCACGTGCTTACTGTATTTAATCCTTTACAGACGTATTTTAAACAGATGTATTTTAAACCACTTAAAGATGTGTTTATACACTGATTTTGATTCTCTTTATGCTCTTCTGAGCTTGAAATGAGTCCAATTGTCAACTCATTTCTGCTAGAGGTGTTAGCAACCGCTCAGGTACTTCAACATACAACAGTTTCTTAGTTATCATATTAAAAACAAATCAAAAATTTGTCCGAAAATGAAATGTTTTTCCCAAGATAATTGGCAGGGAAGGGGTTAAATGAAACCAAATGGTATTGACTATAGTGACCTTGAATTATCCCAATATTTTCAATATAAGTGGGGCACACCACACAAACAGTTGTTTGGAGTTTCATGACTGACTCATAAGTCAAGAAAAAGATTGCACATGCCACATTCAGAATTGAATGCAGGCAAGAAAAACTTAAATTTTTTCCTCTCCAAATAAGATTTAGTATTGCTGTTAAAAAATAATTTAAAAATGACTGTTTTTCCAAAGTATCTCAAGAAAACTAATTCAGAGAATCAGGTCGCTTACCAACTGTGTGAATACACAAAATATCTTATTGGTTGCTTTGTAGGGAAATGGGCCTGTCGATTTCAAGACGCAGTGGGAAATGGACTCTTCTGTTTCTGATGTTTCGCCATCTTGGGTAGGACGATAAACTAAATCCACATCCTGGGTAAGATGATAAACTACCTCTAACAGCAAGGCCTCTGATCAAGAGGTTTTGAGGAGTGTGGAACCACTTCTTAATTGTTGGTGTTTCCATGTTCACCCTAAGCTGGGGTGGTAGCACCTGTTAGGGTCCCAGCTATGAGCAAGTAGTTAACCCCCAAACTGCGGTCAAAACACTATGAAAGTGTAAAAATAGGTTTTAATACCAGCAATACACTCTTGTTAAAAATTATTACCAGTAATGAATTTTTAAAAAAAAAAAAAAAAAAAAAAAAAATTTACCAGCAATACATTTTTGAGAAAAAATATTACCAGCAATAAAAAATCTTGTCAACATTGAATAACCCATTGAGGTTGATATGCCGTAAAACAAACCATACCAATCTGATGTTTTGTAAGCCATAAGGTTTTGATGGTTCTATTCCCTAAGTATAGATAAAGGGTTTGTAACTGTTGTAGTAAGAGCCTGTTACCCTCCTTACTATCATGAATGGACTGATCCATTCATGATAAGTAATCTGGGGTAATTATCTAGAAAAGGAACACAATACTATTGCTGTGACTTGTCTAGCTTAGTACTAAATATTACTGTGTTGTGTCTTGTCAGACCCCACTTCACAACAGTAACACAGATGACCCACTTTGTTTTCCTTCTCAACAAAAATAGTCTCATTAAAAACAAAAGTACTGAATTATAACATTATAAATAACCTATAGATTTATTATAGAAACACCAAATTAACCTATAGAAGGTATAACAAGAAGTGAAATAAAGCATCCAAGTTCTTGACAAACCTAAAGAATAACATATGAAGAAAACAAGTTACCGTGTTCAATGGCATTGACACGCCTGTTGGTCAATTTGATGACTTCATCAAGTGTAACAAATGATGTCTGCAAAGAGGCCAGTTCCACCAAATGCTGAACAGCTTTGGCATAGTTCTTCTTTAGTTTGTCAATTTGCTGACCACCTCGTGACAGACCGGTCAGTTCATTACCTGTAAAGAAAGGAACACCAAATAGAACGGGTTTTAAAGGAAACATTGTAAATTGGGGTTCATTTTCTTTCTACTTGTTTTTGTTACTTCTTACGACAACATTCAAGTTGTTGTTCTACAATTGTCATGCAAATAGCACAAATTGGAAATAAAGAATAAGCCCCAAGTGAAGATTTGAACTCATGTCCCTCATCTTTGGTAATCTGTTTTACCATGAGGACAGCACCTCAGCAATTAGTTCACAAAGCTTTCAACATTTATACAAATTCAGTTAAAAACCAACAAGAGTTCTTAGTTACAGTTTTATTTATTTATTGATTGATTTTTTACTGCTTATCAACCTTTTGCAGGTTATTTAAAGCCAGAAAATATTTTTAATTTGTAAGAATTTTTTGGAGATAATAATGATTTACTGACAAGTCTTACTAATTAACCCATAGCTGAGGGGGAGAAAAGGTGGATTCATACTTTTCCCCACACGTAAGTGAATATAACAAACCCGACTGGAATTGAAACTCTGCTCTCCAATTCCCAATTCTGAGCTGTTATCCATTACACCACCTGCACATCCAAGCTTGCAGCACCCTGTATTCCCAAGTGGTTACTCATCTAGGTACTGACCATTGCTTAACTTAGTTGACTGTACGAGAATTGGTGTTTCAATGTGATATGGCCATAAGCCCAAGGTTTTTTTTTATATACATGTTGGACCATTTTTGTAAACACTTTCCAGTGGAAATATAAATTGTCCAATATCTCAGTACTTTTGACATTTATAAATATTTTTTTGTTGATAATGTTATGGCTATATTGGGTTTTTTCTATTTTTTCCCCACTTTTACAGTATGGATATATATATATATATATATATATATATATATATATATATATATATATATATATATATATATATATATATAGGATTAGGATAGGATTAGGTGATTTATTCAAACAAAATCCTCAAGAAAATTATTGAGTGACCGACAATCTAAGTTGCAGCATTTAATCAGTAAGCGCTTTGGGCATATTACTGAACCAATTTCTGGAGTTATCACTAATCTTTGAAAATTTTTATAGCTTTCAAGTGGACCATTGTATACCATTTAAGATTCCTGATAAGGAAAAAATTTATTCGAAAAAGTTCCTCCAATCTACAAACCTCTTTCTCCAACAGTTCTGCGATACTTTCGTTAATCCGTAGCCCTTTCTGAGTCAGAAGTTATTGGCGAATAATAACTTGGTAATTACTCGTCCAGATAAGGGGCTGGTGTTATAAAATGCAAAAACATTATTTACTAAATTTCTTCCTTGGTCCAGTAGAGACACATGATCGTACTGTTCTTTTTTAGAAATTAAGTTTCAGAAGAAACTTTTTATCTTGGGCCAAACGTGGGTTAATACCTCGTGAAATCATAGATGATATTAGACCTGTCGGGTCTATTTTGACCTATATTTTTCATAAGGAAAATGTTTCCCTCAGACCTATTTTGTCCATGACTGGATCATCTCAACATAAGGTTGCAAGTTTTCTATCAAACCTTCTCCAACGGGTTGTTGATTACTTTAGTCGTATATCATTAAAGATTCTTTTCTTTTGCTCAGATTATTCGTGAAACCCCATCTAACAATAAATTTATGTGTTCGTTTGATGTATGCTCACTGTTTACTTGTGTTCCCGTGTTGGAAACGATTGATATTTGCTGCAATATGCTGTATATATTTTGTCACCTCCGGAGATACCGAAATGGTTTTTTATTAGCTATAATTTGCTACAATATATGTTTAGTTTTTCAACAATAACATGTACAGACAGATAGACGGGTAGCTATGGGCTCTCTTTTGGGTCCTTCTTTGGCTAACATTTTTGTTATTTTTATGATACCTCACTAAAGAAAATGCAAATCTATGTATCAACGATTGGATGATACATTTTGTCTGTTTAACAGTGAAATCCGATTCTTTCCTTACAATTATGAATCATCTTCATCCGTCCCTAAAATTCACTATTGAAAAGGAGTCCAACTTGTCTCTCTTTCCTTGATGTACCATCGGACCCCTTCTCAATTTGTGACATCAGTGTTTGAAACTGGACGTTTTCAGGACAGTGGGACTCATTTTGTCCTAAAAACATAAAATAAATCTGATCAGGACCCTGACCCATAGGGCCTTGATGATTTGCAGTGATGAGTTTTAGATGAGGAATTTAATTTTATCCGCCATATTCTTTATGGATATCCTAATGATATTCTTGATATGGTTATCGGGATAAAATCAATAATTTTAAGGAAAAAAAACAATACAGTGTACACAAGTGCCCTGTTTATCTCGGCTACCATTTATTGGGTCTCAAGGTGAGCTGTTGGCTAGCGTATCTTTCCATGACTGTTTTTTCTCAGCTCAATTAATTGTTCATTTAGGCGACTCGGTCTGCCTTTTCCTCTATCGCAAGGATACTCTTCCCCCCATCATGTTTCTTTCTGTTATTTTTTTTTAAATGTGGTTGTGGTAGCAATTACATAGGAAGGACTTCAGCGTCTAGACTGTAGGATTTATATAATTCTCAATAGCTATAGAAGTCAGTTGGTTAACACTTCCGGTTCAGCGATTGAGCACCTAATAAATAGCAGGAATTGTGCGAAGAACTTTAAATGCAATTAAGCACTCTCTTTATTCCATTTGAAGGCACTCGAATATATATATTCGGTCCAGGGAGCAAATCTTTGTGTAAACAACAAGACTGTCTCCTTGGACTTCATATCATACTATCTAGTGTTCTTCAAAATTTTTTCCCTCTATACACTTGTTTTTTGTGTAATTTTGCACAGTTTTTATAAAGAAGGAAAATATTTATGTATAAGTTATAATAAAAAAATAGGGGAAAATTATTCGTTCTTTTATTCCTTGTCCCTCCTCCATACCATTAATCTTTCATTTTAGTTTTAATTGTATGTAGGTTTTGACTTATTTATTCTGTAAGATTGATAAAAGTTGACCCTGATGAGCTTGGGAGCGAAAACCGGTTGGTCTTTTTTGTTTGTGCGAGAGTTATCATCTCTTATTTCTTATATTATTTTCTTAATGCTCTAAGAAATTATATTATGCGTTGAAATAACCCATTTTTTTTCTTGGATATTACAATTTTGTACCTCAAATAATTTATTTAAATATATATATATATATATATATATATATATATATATATATATATATATATATATATATATATACACATACACACATACATGCAATATGGATGCATGTACACACTCACACTTTACAATATATACACATTCCACTCACTTTGCCCATCCCGGGTATGATGATAAACTATGTCCAGTAGCAAGGCCTCTGATCAGGAGGTTTTGATGATCGGGGAACCACCTCTTAATTGCTGGTGTCCCCAGGTCCACCCTGACCCAGAGTGGTAGCACCTGTTAGAGTCCCAGCTATGAGTAATTAGTTAACTATCAAACAGGGGTCAAAACACTATGAAAGAGTAAAAATAGGTTTTAATACCAGCAATACATTTTTGAAGGAAAATTATTACCAGCAATACAGTTTAAAAAAAAAAAAAATACCAGCAATAAAAATCTTTCAGCCTTAAATAACCCATTGAGGTGTTGATATGCCATAAAACAAACTTCACTTTGCTTGCAATACAAATGTGGATGCACATATCAACCACTTTGCAATATGGATACAAACACATACATACACCATCCACTCCTCACACTTTGTAATACAGACTCATACACACACTTTGTAATACGCCACCTGTGGATGTACACCTCGACTTTTCCATTCCAATAACTAAAAGAGAGACTTACTGTCACTGCCATCCTGATAGTGTTCAAAGATTGGCAAAGTAACACCTAAAATAAAAATGAAAAAAAAATTAGCAAAACATTGAAGGTGAAAATTTATGAGGATAATAAAAAATAAAAACTTATTTTTTAATAATTTTGTCTGCTTCTTTAAGGGAAGAAGAAATTAAATTGTCATAATATTGAAGTAAAAATAAAATACCTTTTCCATCAGGCCATATATAAAAGAGAAAAACAAAAAGAAGAAAAATAACTTCAAAGAGATACTTTTCAAAAGTGACTAGGACAGCTTAAGATAACATTTCCCTATTTCATAGTATGGAGGCACAAACTAGCATAAAAGTAGAAATGTCACTATCGGAAGCAGCCAAGAAGTTTATTAACAATATTAATTTATTATATTATTTACTGAAATGGTTGGAAAAACATCAGCTAATTGCCAATTGATTCCAACTTTCTAAAATGGTAAATAATAAAGATTTCCTTATTGTTGTTCACATATTTTAATAATTTAGTAAATATTCAGAAATTTATGAATAAAAAATTTTTTCATTTTTATTTATAAATTGGTAAATGATAAATATTGTATTAGTTTTAATTGTATTAATTTTTAAAATGTTGCAAATATAAAATTGTTCATGTAAATAAACAGTGTTTAATTTTTGTTGTCAATTCTCAGGAACAAAGAAAATGTATAAATTCACTTTCATATCTTTAGGTTCGATTGCAATTCTAACTGTTACTTTTTAAAACAATAAATATCACCAAGGAGTGAAGGTAGTTAAGATAATATCAGCATCAAGAGGAAAAACGTCCTGTTGACACAGTTTTTTTGTGGGCACGAAGATCCATGTTTGCCAATATTTCAATGTTTCTTTACATCAGATATGTACAAATCAATTTCAAGTTCATAATTCCAAGCTTAAATTTGATTTACAATCAAGTAGACATAAGGTTGCCAGGTGTCTAGTATTTCATTTATTTCAGTATTTAATTGTTAATACTGCAAGGCATTGTCACAGTATTAGTACTTTTAGTGATGTCAACAAACACTCGTCACTTTCGTAATGTTCATTGTAGTAGAGACTTTGCAATTGCAGATACAATTATAATACACTGTTGAACAATACTGGTGTCAGATGCCTTCAAATGACACTCACACTAATAATATTTGCTTGAATAGTAATCCATATAGTGATCCGAATAGAGAAATAGTATAGTGAATAGAGTAGAGAATAGTGGTCTGTATAGTAATAGAGGATAGACTAGAAATGAGAAGATCTATATAGTACAGAGGATAGACTAGAAATTTCTAGTTTCTCAATGATGGTGATGAACATTGTCTTTGTTGCAATTCTGCATGCAAACAAATCTTTTGTTGACACATTTCCTTTTTTGGATAAATTTTGCATAGCCCTATCATAGCCAGAAATTCACACACTATCATTGCAGAATCTTTATGCATGTTTGGGTTTGACAAAATTCTTATAAATTCATTAATTTTGGAAAATGTAATTATCTGTTTAGTGTGCTCTTCCTTGACAAATCTTCATAACAGTTTCATAATCATGCTAAAAAGATCATCTGCTAGGAAAAGAAGCAATCGGTTTATTGCTCTGATATTTTATCACAAACAGTTCAATGTCTTTCAAAACAGACACAAAAATCTTTGCTGGAAATAAAATGTCATTCACATTTGACAGCACTGCAGAGGAGGACTTGGTCTGGGGACATCGTTCACATGTTTGTACATTTTCAATTCATCTATGGCAGAAATACAAAAGTAAAGGGACAGTGTTGTCAGAATGAACTTTTAATATAAAGCCAAGCAATAAAAGCCAAAAAAGTTAATATATTTCATCATTTTTTCATATTTACAACAAAAGCTAAAGATACAGGTCATCATTAGCCTGCAAACTTTAAAAATAACATTCTTCTTATTTTTTCAATTTTATTTTTTTCCATCTTATCATCCTTCCCATCTACATTTTCTTTGAGTCAAATTTGATTCTCAAACTTGTTACTTTTAGCAACAATTTAATTAGACAACCATAGTTTACACATAGATACTTATTGACACGGACAAGTATTGTACCTATTTTTTAGCATGAACTCATCCACCACTGACTAGAGATCAAAAAGACTTAACTTTTGAAGTTAGCATGTGAATAAAATTTCTTCAATTGTTCAAATTTTAAAAGACACTGATAAATTTTTCAACATTCTAAAGTGTATTTTATTACTTTAAAATAATTTATTTTCCTTTCAACTACAAATTCAATGAGTGTGAATTAATTTATCTTTGAGGGAGATATTTACTTGTCTCTGACACTTTTTATCTTTGCTCCTTGTTGAGTGAAGATAGCAACCAAAACAAGACACACTTTCATAATCTTTCTCCCTTTCTTTCTCATCACCTAGACAAGAAAATACAGAAGTAACTATGAGTTCATGAACTCGTTCTAATCAATAAAAGAAATCACTGTTTGCAATAATTGCCAAATATTACTAATGACTAAAAAAAAAAAAAAAAAAAACAACTTTTCTTAAAGGATAATTTAGTTTATAAAAAAGCCAAATTTCTGTGATTTGCTATTTCTGACTTTCATGTATTGAAAAAAAGGATACATGGGCAACACAATTTAGAAAATTCCAGGACTTTTCAAGGATCTTTTAGACTATTGCTGTTTTTCTAGGACTCTTCAAGCTCTGGAAAAGGCTCTGTCAATTTTCCAGGACTTTTCAAGGTTTTCATGACCTGTATGAAACCTTCATAATCAATTATTAGGCTCTAATGTTAATATTTCTATATCAATTACCACCAAGAACATTGCCATATTTTTTTTTTAACATTTTACATATATCTTGTACTAATAATTTTCAAATAATGATCCTCATATTTTTGGTGTATAGACCAACTTTCTTTATTAAGGATAGTAGGTCATCTACATCAAAGTTTTCAAATAAATCTCTCATGCTTCTTTTCACTATAAAACTGATCAGAGGAAAAACAGTAATTTGATAAATTTGAGCAGACAAAAAAGAAATAACACAAAAACAAAGAGGGGTCAGGTTATTGACCAAATATAGCAGAGAGCCACGATAATGAGAAACAGTGGAGAACAATCACTCATATCCTGAAGAGACATGGCACGTAGAAAGTGTAGTGAAGTTGATTCTCGCTGGTACTTCTCATACCAGACTAAATTTGAGCTTAGCAAAGAACGTTATCCACTTTAAGTTGTATGGGTTCCAGCTATCTCTACTAACCAGTATGCTATCACCTATAGTAGAGAAAATGATGCAGTTATTGATAAACTCACCGGCTACATTGTCTTTCTTGGATCGAACTTTAATTTGTGCTTTATTAACATTCTGAAGGACGATATGGTTGAAGTCTCCAGTCGTAAATTTAGCTTCAGCCAAAGAAAAGGAAGCTTCCTTCATAATTTCTCCCATCAGCATTTTAGTCTGAAATGAAGAGAAAATTAGTTTTTTTTAGAAAAACTGAGAAATCAGAAGAGAAAAGAAACTAGTAAAAAAATCGGGGATGTATATAACCAATCCAGCTTTGTCCCCCAACCTCACATTCCCCATCCCCAACCATATTTCCTCTTTTCCTTACAAAGTCTTGCTGAAATATACACTTGATAGTGACTTGGGTATACTCATAATGTAATAAAATAATTTTTTTTTAATGCTATATTTCAACGAATACAGGGTTTGAGAGACACTCAAGGTAGAGCTTTACAGAATGAAATGCAATATGAATGTAAGCAGATGTGTTACAAAATGAAGATTATGGGATAATTAAGCCCCTGTCCTCCAAACAGGAGTAGATAGGTTCTCCTATCATCCAGTTGACACTCCTCTTTGGTCTTTTGAACAGGAGTAGAGGTTTATTCATTTTTTTCCTGTTCAGGTTCCTTCTAAAGTCGATTTCAACTCTATATTTGTCATGTTTCTGCCTGAACTCTGAAATTTTATTTCAATAATTTTTTTTTCTTCTCTCCCAATAGAAATACACACTCCTTCCTGGTCTTTGGAAAAAGAGTAGACCTTTATCCATTGTTTCTAGTCCCTTCTAAAGTCTACTTCAACTCTATACACCTAATGTCTCTCTGCCTGAACTCTGAAATTTTATTCACTAATTAAATCTTGACCTCTTCTAGTCTAGAATTAACTATCTTTCCTGTTATCTTGCCTTTTCTTATGCTAATACAATTCCACACAGTAACCCTCTACCTTGAGTGCCCCTTTGGCCTTGTATTGGGTGAACATTATTAAAAAAAAAAAAAAAAAAAAAATCTACCAATTATCAGTAGAGCAAGTTTAACCCTTATTCACCTGGCATCAGTATTTAAACTGACCTTTTTTCCATACATCAAAATTAATTGTAAATTATAATTTCAGGAACTGTGAAAACTAATTGACAATTTTTTTATCAAAAGTACTTGTTTTGCATATATTTAAACTACAATTGCAAACTTTAATTTTGAAAAGTAAAAATTTCACTGGAATATTTGGAAAAATATCCAAGTTTTCAGTTGAAACCAAGAAAATACAAATTTTAAGCAAAATGGTCATAATGAAAAAAAGAAGGCATCATCTTTTTTTTTATAGTTAATTGATAACAAGAAGGCATGGGTTAATAGGACAGGTTGATTTTATTTTTGGAATCATGGTATTGAACTCAATTTGAAAGTTTGGATTTGACATGATAAATAATGATACAAATTTTTTTTTTTTCGGGTTGTTATTTTTTTTTTTTCGGGTTGTTATTTTTTTATTTTATTTTTTTTTGAGGAAGAGAAAGTTTAAAGATTAAGTTTAGGTTCAAAACTGGAGAGTTGAAACTTTATTACAATGATCAGTGAAAAATTTGACACTATCAAAAAATTCGATACACTTAGCCTTCCTTATAGAAAACAAATAAAATGTATTAATTAAAACAGGTACCTCCACTAATTCAGTATAGGTAAGGTTTAAAATTAATTTTTAAGAATGAAAAAGTTTTGAAGTTTTCATTTTGGCTCAAATTGAAAGCTAAGGGATTTAAAATTTACTATTTCCAGTCAGCAAAATACTGTGGTGCATTTTAAACAGAAATTATATTGATCAGGATAGTTTTTTTTTCAGTAAAAATCAATAAAAATTGGCTATTTTGATAGATTTATAAACAAAAGTTAATTCTCAGTTTTAAAAATTTTCCAAAAATATATATTTCTGAAACATTATTTGAGGAAAATTAGCAAATTTAAAGTTAAATTAATCTGATTTGAAACAAATATGACTTATTGCATAAAATGTTGTATACAAGCATTTCTTAACCATGGGGTCTTGTTTTTCTGACATGTTAATCAATTTATTGACAGCCAAACGTGTTCACAGTTAAGTACAGTGAAGCAGACAATAGGTGGACAACCCTTAAAACATGACCTTTTAATGATAAATTTATTGGTTTGTCCATCCATACTTCAGAAATTCTGCACATATATATACACATACAAAAACAAATCGAAATTCTTTTAAAAATATTTGGGGTCATCAGATTGTAAAAAGCTTTACAATATATTATTCAATTTAAAAATGTAAAAATGAGCAATATTGTAAAAAAAATTTCTTCTTCAAACGATATTATCTTTAAAAGCAATTAAAAGCTTCACTAATTAAATAATAATTTAATTTAGTTTTATTGCATTTTTTATTTTTTTATTCAGAACAAATTTTCGATAAGATGGGATCCAATTTTGGAAAAAAATTTGGTGATTTAAACTCTTCAAAGAATTCAACTTTTAACTAATATAGTCACTAAAAATTATCACATTGAATTTCTCAAGTTTTCATAAAATTAAGTAAGGAGGTAAAACACATGTAAAAAATAAATAATACATTTTTACCAAGATTTTCTAATAAAAATAATTTCATTCCTTGGTGAATAAGTCCTGAAAATGTAATTAAAGTGAGACAATTATTCAATTTCATGTAAGAATTTCCAAATTAATATCTGTCACCACACAAAAAAAAAAAATAGGACAAAATTTGCTATGCAAAAATGTTAGTACAATCACTGATGCAAGAAAAACAAATTTCTTTCAATCAAAATTTCGAATGTTCTAAAAAGGATAAAAAAAAAAAAATTAAGAAAATATTTAAAAAAAAAAAAAAAAAAACGTTGATGCAGCCTCTTAAGAACAAAAATATTGTCGATAAAACTGTTTTCATTACGTTTGTTGAAGCATATTTTCCTGATGGTATGCTGCTTTTTCAGCGATTTCATGGCGGTCGGGTACCTAAAGTGTTTTACAATTACAACATTTGCGTTGTTCTCAATAAATCAGAATTATGAATAATATAAAAAAATATTCTCTTTATAAAGGCGAAAATGGAGATTTAATGAATGATTAAGTTGTGGCCAGCGATGAAAATTGGATCCTTTTTTTTTTTTTTTTTTTCCTCGTATGGAATTTTAAGTTTTATTTTCTACGGAAAAAATAGACTAAATTCCCCATAAAACAAAACAGTAACAAAAACCACCTCATAAAAACAAGAAATTTTTTCTTTTTTTTTTTTTTTACTCAACATTAGTAGTAAGTGTTATAAAAAAAAAAAAATGAATATTTTTGTTTATGAATATTGAATCTTGTCCCGGAACTTTCTTTTGATGGGTCTTATCTAAGTTTGCACCGGTATAAACGTTTGCTGTTACATTCTCTATTGAAATCTCAACCAGTGTTCGTTTGTAACTATAAGTGTAAATTTAATTATTTCTTTTACATTTTTATACAACAGACTTAATTATTTGAAAAAGAAAAACATTTTGTTTAATCTGTCATTTTGTATTTTCGAAGCGACTGGCATTTAAAGCGCTGTGTTTATTTCCACGGAAGAAAAAATATTTCTAGGTAAAAAAAAAAAAAACTCTTTATTTTCACCTTTGATATTTTATTAAAATAGAGAGTAATGTTCCAGTTTCGTATTTTAAAAAAATAGCTGATGCTTTTATACTCGACATCCTTTTTAAATACTAACCCAAGAAATTAAGTAAATAATTACTTTTTTAGCGTACGTCGAAATTGTTTTCAAATTTTTTGTGAGCAAAGTTGTTACTCATGTTCATAGCAATTTCTTTTTAATTAATTCATAATTTGTTATATGTACGTTGTTGAAAAAGAAAGTAAATCACATGAAATGAAAAAATTGCGTTCAAAAAGCTTCGTTTAGGATGCCAATCTAATAATTAATAAAATAAAAAAAAATAAAACTGGTCAAGTTAAAAAGCATAACTGACTGATAAATACACCAGACGGCCATAAAATAAATCAACTCGAGTTTTTGGACACGTTTTTTTTTTTTTTTTTTTATGTAATGTATTTTTTTTCAACATACATATCACTAATTATGATTTAATTAAAAAGATAAATTGCTTTGAAATAATTCGTCAACTTTAAATAAATTCATTTTCTTGAAAAAATAATTTCCGATCCTAAAAGTTTTTCCCAGTCCCAATTTTGCACCCAGCCCTCATCCTAACTAATTCAAATCCTTTTTTTAATTATGTTCATTCAAAGAAACTAATCCTCGTTCGGCTTCGCTTAATGCTTGATAAGATCCCAAAAATTCGAGACACCGCCACTTTGTCGATGAAAAAACAGCATAACACGATGAAAAAAAGGTTCCAAACTTAATAAAGACAAAGTTTTATCGTCAAAATGTTTTTGCTATTAGGAAAGAGAAATTTTTTTTTTTTTTTTTTTTACATTTTTTAATTCTTCATAACAATCCGAAATTTTAGTTAAAAATCTTTTCTTTTTTTGAGTTAGAAAAAAATCGATGATATCGGCCATATTTTTTTAGAAATTTGTAAACAAAAGTTAAATTCTGCGTTTAAAAATTTTGTAAAAATCAATTATACCTTTTTTCAAAAGTTATTTGAGGAAAATTAGGAAATTTAAAGTTTACTGTTTACTAAACTTAACGTAATTGGAAACAAACATTACTTCATTTTTTGTAACAGATGTAAAATTATACCATGACTTTCTAAAAAGGAAAAACAGAATCATCTAAAAATAATTTTATTTGTTAATAAGTTCTGAAAATTTCATTAAAATCTAGCAATTATTTGATTTTTGCAAACTTAAATTTTTCTTATTCAATTTCTATTTTCTAACTTGCGTGTCATTTTGAAATTTCCCTTCAAATTATTTTTACTTTAATTCCTATTTCATAAAAAATGTTTTTCTTTCTTAGTAATTTTTTACTTTTTTTTTTCAAGTTTATTCTTTTTTTGTGAGAGTTATTTTGTTAAAAACAAGCTAAAGTAACTAAAATTAAATAAAATATTAGATAATTGCTGAAAATGTTAACTTTTAAAAATTATTAGGTAGTTAAATTTATAAAATCTAAGTGAGCACTTTGTTTTTTATGCCAATTTCTGGTCAATCATACTTAGCTTTTCAACACATCAGGCTGTCAATAAATCAATCAACACATTGGAAAAACAATACCTGTGGTTAAAAAATGCTTGTTTACTATGTTTTATGCTATAATTTATGCTATAATCTATTAATCTGATTTGAAACAATCATTACAATTGTAATGATTGTTTCAAATCAGATTAATTTAACTTTAAATTTGCTAATTTTCCTAAAATAATGTGTCATAAACATATATTATATTTTTGGGAGATTTTTACAGAATAAACTTTCGTTTACAAATCTATGAAAATGGCCAATATTCACAGATTTTCTGAAAAACGACCAAAAAGTCGAGATTCCAATCAATATTTCTATTTGAAATACACCAAAGTATTTTGCTTACTGGAAATAGTAAATTTAATCATTTAGCTTTCAATTAAAGTCAAAAAGAAAGCTTCAGGAATGCTTTTTCATTTTTTTAAATTCATTTTAAACCTTAACTACCAAAAATTTAGTGGAGTTCCCTATTTAAAACTAACCCTAACTCCTTGCCATAATTGTCAGTCATTTTTTATAGGAAACTGGAAGATAGCCTAAAAAAGTTTAATTAATTTAAATTATTCTTTTTTTCTCTCTCTCAGATAAAAATGTCTGGAAAAAGATCTACAGTTTCAAACCGAGGTGGCAGTTCCAAAAGGTTTTCTGGTCTACCTTGTCCTTTGGATAAAACAGAGCCCCCGACTTTACGAAAAGTTATCCAGTACAGCTATTTCCTTGCAAATAGCAATCCCCGCATGAGAACATACGATATTTCCAAATTAATAGCAAAAGAAATAATCAGTATTTGGCAAGCAGTGAACCCACGATTGCCTTTGTTAAGGGAATATTACATAGGACAGAAAGTGGATAGACTATGTTTCAAGGCAGCCAAACAGATTAACCGAAAATCTTTTCCGGCATCCAAAAGGAAAAGAATTGAGGAACATCTGGATAAATTATTTGATATTTCTTCATGTTGCTGTAAACTGCCTATCTTAAGATGCGATGATTTTGCTGTGGAATGCAATAATAAAGAAAGTTGCCAAACAAAACACATAGTTTGCACTTGTCCTCCTCACAAGAAGGTAATGTTAAACTAGAGGCTTGTTTTTCTTTGTGTAATTGGAATTAGTTCATGTCCTCATTTTCAAAATTTAAATAAATTTATATCTGATAATCTTCCTTTCTCTGGTAAATAATATTGTGATATTTTCTTTCACATTATATAATCAGGTTAGATCTGTTTTTAAACATATATGCATTTTGAAATTTCAGATTCCTGTTGAAGAACGGGAATATTTGAAAAATCAGAGAGAGAAAACCGGACAAAAGGACAGTCTCCAACTTGGCAAAGATGCTGTCAAAAAATATCAAAAAAGTTCCACAGAAGCAGAAAATTCAGAACAGGCAGATTGAAAGATAACAACACAAGGATTCTGCACGTGTTGATTCTACATTGGATATTTTTCCACCAACGTCTTCCACTGAATGAAGAAACAGCCAATGACAATTTGGGGCCAGGGAGACAGTCAAAGGCAGTGTTTTTCAAACTATTTCATGTGGTTTACCAGCAGTCCCCACCCCATATGCGAGGGACCAACAAGCAAAGCTTTCCAATCCAGTTTGAGATATGTCATATTTCAGGGTCATTTTGAGACTATTTGTACTAAAAATGAGGGCATGTTTTATTCATTCTAAGGTATAACAAACCCTAGTGTGCCAAGGACCGGTGCCATATAATTACATAATAATGATCAGAGAAAATATTATGAATATGATCATTTGTATCATTTTTGTTATGTTATTTTATATTGATTTTGTAAACAAGTAATTCAATATAAATAAATAAAAAATTAATAAATCAAAGCCTTCTGGCTTGGTAATAAAATGAAAAATTATAATTTATAAAGTAGTTTAAAATTTACAGCTTATTTTCCAGCTTACAAAATGCTCTTTTTTTTCCTGAAAAATATATGTGCATCTTCCAAGACAAATGTAAGGCAACACCCAGGCTCAAGTAAGCTTGGACAGTCACCTAATTGCCTTGACTGATAGCTATTTCATTTAGCCTTTTTGTAGTGAACGAGATAATCAAGTACCCCGGAAAAAAGGTCGTGTTTTGTCTGCTCCACTGTCGGCAAATCGAACCGTTGGTGAGTGACCGAGAGCAGCCCGAATCTATTAACGCGGTACACGTTATTCCATTGATGCGTACCGCGTTAATAGATTCGGGCTGCTCTCGGTCACTCACCAACGGTTCGATTTGCCGACAGTGGAGCAGACAAAACACGAACTTTTTTTCCGGGGTACTTGATTATCTTGTTCACTACACTTTTATATGATGTAATCTCAGTACTTAGTTCTTACTAGTATTTCCAAGACTATAAGCCTTCCTGGAGTTGAGCTACAAGCTTAAACATCTACCGATTACTAGCAGCGTTGGGAGTTTTTCTGCTCTTGGCTAGTATGACGTTGCCATACAAACAAAATCGGACAAATGATTAATGTAAACAATACATGGCGTCAGTATGTGAGGGACGCATGGTGAATGTGTTGTTGTGTGAGAATGACTATTTTTTTTTAGAAATTTCTTTTCAAGACTAGGGTATGTCTTCCAAGCCACAGCGTCTTGTAAGCCAGAAAATATGGTATATATTTTAGTTATTTTAAACCCAATGAATAAATACATTAAACCAAAAATCTGAAAGAAATAGATAACAGTAAATTGATGACAACATTTTGGAAATATGTTGTAATATAAAATATATCAGCAATTCAGAAAATTTATCAGAAATTGTTTTAATTTAGGGATTGTTTTTGGTTTGAGTCTCTAAACAAGATTTTTCAGTTTAACCCACAAGAAAAAGTCTGGTGGTGTTACATCTGGTGATTGTGATGGCCACAATGGCTCCATACCATCCTATCCACCACAGCTCAGAAAAAAAAAAAAAAAAAATTGCCACACACCCTGTAGTTTCTGTTTCTATTTCTTGGAACACTTGAATTTCTGAATTCTATACAAAATACTAATGAAAAAAATCATTGTCATTTTTTTATTTTTTTTTTTACCCAGTCTTTGAAATATATTTTTAAGAAATATTAAATAATCTGGTTATTCCGTACTATTTTAGAAATGTATGGATTCTTTAATTATTAAAAAAAAAAAAAAAAAAATGGTAAAAAATTAAAATAAATATAAAAGTGTATAATTTTTTTTTTTCTTACCTCAATAATTCTCTTGAGGATGGCACGAAATCTCAGAGTCAATGCATCAGCTTTTTTCTTCAGTAAACTATGACCTTTCTGGGCTCCCTTTAGCCTGGCCTTCATCAGGGTCAAGGCCCTACATACATAAAAGAAATACAATAATTATTACAGTATTCACTGGTGATGCTGTCAAACTGCTTTCAGTCTTCTCAGGAGGCTTATGAAAAGAATATATATCTGGTGATTTTCTACACAGAGCTTAGATGTGGCACAAGGTCAAAAGTATGGGGTAGTCAGTAAAAATTAAACCCACTATTCAGTCATAACTGATCTAACGAAACAAGCCTGTTAACTATTACATCATGTTGAAATGCCATACTTATTTCTTCTTTCTAAGCCTAGCTTAGATGTGGCACAAGGCCAAAAGTGTGGAGAACCCAGTGAGGATCAAACTTCTTACTCAGTTGTAATTGTTCTAGCAAAAAAAAAAAAAAAAAAAAGATTGTTAACTATTACAGGATGTTGAAGAGTCCTTGATTTATTAAGTGTTGTTTAGATGTGGAAAAAAGCAAGAAGTATGGGGCACCCAGTGAGAACCAAACTCACAACTCAGTTGTAATTGTTCTAGCAAGACAAGCTTGCTAACCATTCATTACACAACATTGAATTGCCCCCTGTGAAAAGAATATATGTAATGGATGGGAGAATATGATAAATGTTAATATATCAGACTAATGATGGGTAATTGAATCACAAATTGGGAAATATCCTATGTTACTTGTTTCAGCCTTCAAAAGGACTTCTTCAGTGTAAATAATGTTTTTATTGATGCAATGAAATAAATGTTGGTTATAAACATACAAGGAGCTCTTGCAGATTTTAACCCAACCAGACAATGAAACAATCTTCCCATCTTTAACAATGCACACATAATCTTGAAAAGGAATGCTGCATTTTCACAAGGGAATGGAAGGTGAAATCAACACCACAACAAGAAATGAAAACATGACTCCTGTTTTCGATAATTTGGTTATAGCATTCTTTTGGGGAGTTTCTTTGCCTCTTCTTACTTCCACCTAGCAACTGCTACCAATATAACAGCTGGCTGGCTCTCACTCTGCCACTAACCAGGACTCTACCTATATAAGGCTGCATGTGGAAATTCCTAACTTCTGGTTTATTGTCACTTGTTCCCAAAAGTTTTCATTTATGTGTTATTTTATTCTCTTTTGAAGACACATTTCACATTTCCATTACTACTGACCATAAATCTCCAGACACTTCAGACTCTGATAACATCATTTAGGTCCATCACTTGACTTAGGGTGTTGGGGGACTTATTGTGCCACAATAATTATAGACTGAAAGAAATGCTGAAGATGCTCAACTTTAAATTTTTGGCATTGATTTGTCTCGATGCACAATTCAAGGTGACTTCATTCTGTTTCATACAGCTTTTGTATTCACTGTTGTTATTATTAAATATCCCAAGAATTCAGCTTTAATTAACAAATTTATTCAAGCAAAATTTTATAGAAAGTGCACCAATTTCTGAGGCTTCCACGGTAAATCTATGTCCAGGTTCATACAGTACATCCCCTTTCCTAACAAAATCACTGCTATTAAAACACCAATCCATACAAATATATCCATAACAAAATGTGATTAGAAGAGAAGAAATAAACATGTAAGAAAAAAAAAAAAAACATACACAACTCGGATTCATTTGGACTTCTCTTAATAAATACTTGAAATACTAACCTTCTCTTGCAGGCACATCATCCAATATTTCATTGATATGCATTTTTATTTCAAATAAGAGATAATATGGTAGAGAACAAATGTTTTATACTAAAAAAGATAATGTAACTTGACCACTACAACCGCCTTATTAGCTTTATACATATGATAGCCATATTCACCTTCAGTCTTGACCACTGACAATCTCTTCTTTTTTTTTTTCCTCTTTTTTTTATTGTATTTTTTTCTTTTCACCCCATGCAAGGTGATAATGCCACTAAGACACAGGGGTTTCTTAAGAGAAAAAGAGAAAGGACAATAAAGTTCAGGAAGACAGAAGCTTCATGTTGCACTTAAATGTTTGAAGATTATAGGCGGCAGGGAAGCAAGAAGCTAGTAAAGAAGAAATTAGAATAGAACTTACAACTGCATCTGGCTAGTTCAACAGTAAAACAATAAGACCTAATTGTCAATCTAGTACTGTGCTTAAATCAGGTGGTCACGGTACCAAGGAGGAAATCTCATCAGAACAATTCCCATGGAAATATTTATAGAAAACACAGAGGGAAGCCAAATCATGGCAGTGGAAAAGTAACAGAAATCAAGATGCTAAGTCAGGACCTATTACATTACTGGCACATCTTTGGATTTTGTCAAGAATCCCGATATATATAGCAGGAGCACCAGACCAGATATGGCAGCAATATTCAATATATGGACAAATGGTAGATGTATAAATGTGAAAGATGGAATACAGTGAGAAAATTGTCTGACACAATACAGTGAACCAACTTTTCTAGCAGTAAGCCTAGAAACTGATTCAATATAATCGTTTCATTCCAGGAGGTTAGCATCAGCCATACTGATAGAAGGTAAAAAAAATAGTTCCCTAAGATGACTAAGAGATAGTAGTTTCATTTTGAAGACATTAAAATTTACAAGCCATTTCTTTCTTGGCTGGTATAACAAGTAATTGAAGGTAATCTTTGAGATCAACTGCCATTTTTACTTGATCAGACTTACTATTAAAACAGGAGTAAATAGTTGTATCATCAGCATACATACCTAGTTGGAAACTAATGACATTGGAAAGGTCGTTGATAAAGTTAAGAAACAGAGTAGATCCAAAGGAGGAAACCAGCCTTAATGTGAAAGGAACTAGAAGACTGGCAGTGCAACACAACTTTTCATTACATGATTTAAGTTAAGAAAGATTGGATCCAATCGAAAATAGCCTGGTCCTTGATCTTGCAAAGAAGATTGGCATACCAAACCCTGTCAAATGCCCTCAAAACCTCTAAAGCCATAGCCTAAGCTTTGCCATTCTTATTTAAAGTTTGACAAACTCCTTCAGTAATAATCACTAACACACTGGCAGTTGACCTAGAGAAACAAAAAACCATATTGTTGATCTGAAAGAAGAACGTGAAATTCAGAGTTGATTAGAGCCTCTCGGACTTTGCTAAAAATAGACACAAGACGAATACATCAATAATTCAAGCAGTTTACTTGGGTTCTTGAAAAAAGGAACTACAGAAAATGATTTCAAATAAGCTGGAGAGCAAAAAGCAAGAAGACATTTTCGGTAGAGTATATGAGAACAGAACATCTCTTTAGAATAATAGCAGGCCATCAAGTCTGTATATCTTTTGATTTCATCTATGTTATTCATTTTTAATTCAAATTATGGTGATAGAATAGGTCTTTTAAATAATGTAAATGAATTAATATAAATTCCTTTATTAAAATCATTAGTAATGCATTTACATTATACATATATTAGTCATATTTTATCAATAATGCTTCCATTAATTTCTGACCACTGACAATCCCTTTCCTCCTGATTTTCCATGCATTTACATCTATCTAAATAAATAAACAGCAAATTCTATCCGTCCATCTTGTGTCTGAAAACCTCTCTAACTCAGGCCACACTTGCTCTACATAGACATATTACGCCTTTTTTGGAATCAGGGTGATCCTGGGATTGAAAATCTGCTCTTCATCTGGTGCTTGAACATCTATCATTGGGATTTGTATCTGGATGTTGACAACCCTTTTTTTGAGTGAGTGAGAGAGAAAGAAAAGCAAGTGAGGAGAGAGAAAGAAGCAAAAAAGATAGGAGAGAGAGAAGAGGGGAAATAACAAAAAGGAAAGAAAAAGAAGATCTCATGATGAAAACATCTTTATAAGACTACTGAATTTAATTTCAATATTGCTGACCCCATAATATTTCTTACATAAAACGTTGAGGAAGATTTCAAACCCCATAAAGTAACCTAAAAGTTATTACCTATAAAATTCTTCATTGATAAAAAGAAAAGGTTTTATTCAGTCACAAGACCAACTATGTAATGCTGCAAGAGAGAAAAAAACAACCACCTGTGTAAAGTTGTCTAATGACCCAAATACATATGTTATGGGAGTCATCGCAAATTGTTTGTCAATCAACAGCTTGGTGAGGACAGATGGCATTCAGAAGAGTTATTTTAAGTGAGATAAGACAGTAATATAACTGACTTTATGATCTATGGTTGTGATCACACACAGAAGACAATAAATTCCTACAGCCAGTATGCTGGTAGGGATATCATTGACATGGAAGCAGAAATCCAAAATTATGATTTACAAAGTGCCTGTCAAAAATGACAGGAGGGGTAGCTACATATGGGTTGGTACTTTTTGAATAGTATCCGCTGTACATTCTGTGAAAATGATTACACATACATACACAATATATACAAGAAGGTGCTGAAAATTTCTTGATCCAAGAAGCTTCTCCAGCTTCCACCTCCCATAAGTCTGATGAAAATTTTTCAGTACCTCTTTGTATAGAGCTGGGATTCCTAAAGTGAACAGTAGTGTCCCCTTGAAGGCAGTGAAGGGGATTAGGAAACGAGGTGTGGTAGCGGGCAGCATAGTGACATTCAAGCAAAGTAATAATTTAACTTTTTGATCCCCATGACAAAATGAGTCACTTAAAAAATGCATTTACCTCACAAAGACAAAAATGAATATGACTGATTGATTTGCTTTCTACGACTTATCAACCCTTGACAGGTTGTTTAAAGGCAGAAAATGTTTTTAGATTGTAAGAATTTTTTTGGAGGGGAGAAATAAATATGGTTTAATGATACAAGTCTTACTAATTAACCCATAGCTGGGAGAAGAGGTGGATTCATATGTAATCATAATTTAATAAACAAACAAGAAATAATGCAGATATAAAGTGAGGGATCAATTCTATGTTACAATCAATATATAAACTGATCCCTCACTTTATGGCCATTGTAGTTTCTATACATTTATATTCCAGAGACTGTAAATAAATCTAAAAGACATGCCTGTGTCGCTAATCAGTATTTCCTTGATTAAGTGATTCACTTTCTACGGCTT